CTGTCCCTGTCCCTGTCCCGCAGGAGGTTCTACAAGGACATGCCCCAGAACGCGCTGGACAAGAAATCCAACTTCGAGTTCCTGGAGTGAGTGCAGCCCGGGCCCAACCCGTCCTGGGGGCTGGGGACTGCTGGGGCCTTCCTCGTCATCTTCATCTTCATCATGCTCCTCACCTTCATCATGCTCCTCATCTCCTCATCGGGACACGGGGCCGTGGGGACATGGCGCCGTGGTGGCGTGTGACGGGATGCTCCTCATCCTCCTCACCTTCATCATCCTCCTCATGCTCCTCATCCTCCTCACCTTCATCATCCTCCTCATGCTCCTCATGCTCCTCATCCTCCTCACTTTCATCATCCTCCTCATGCTCCTCATCCTCCTCACCTTCATCATCCTCCTCTTGCTCCTCATCCTCCCACAGCTCCTCATCCTCCTCATCCTTCTCATCATCTTCATCCTCCTCATCCTCCTCATCCTCCTCATCTTCATCATCCTCCTCTTGCTCCTCATCCTCCTCATGCTCCTCATCCTCCTCACCTTCATCATCATCCTCATCCTCCTCATCCTCCTCATCCCTGAAGATGAAGATGGGAGCCATCCTTTCTCCGGAATTCCCCCGTCCCGTCCTGCCTGGGGTGGGAATTCCCGCTGACATTCCCGGGATTCTCTGCTCCTCCGCAGGAAGGAGGTGGGGCTGGACCTCTTCTTCCCCAGCCAGATGCAGGAGAACCTGAAGGTGAGGGGCACCTGGGTGTGGCACAGGCGTGGCACCTGGGGACACGTGTCACCACGCCCCTGCGTGTGTCCGTGTGTCCCTGTGTGTGTCCGTGTGTCCCTGTGTGTGTCCCTGTGTGTCCCTGTGTGTCTGTGTGTCCCTGTGTGTGTCCATGTGTGTCCATGTGTGTCCCTGTGTGTGTCCATGTGTGTCCATGTGTGTCCGTCTGTCCCTATGTCCATGTGTGTCCCTGTGTCTGTGGTCTGTGTGTCCGTATGTGTCCATGTGTTCATGTGTCCCTGTGTGTCCGTGTCCTTGTGTCCCTGTGTGTCTGTGTGTCCATGTGTGTCCATGTGTGTCCGTCTGTCCCTATGTCCATGTGTGTCCCTGTGTGCCCCTCTGTGTGTCCCTCTGTGTCCGTGTGTCCCTGCGCATCCATGTGTGTCCCTGTGTGTCCATGTGTGTCCCTGTGTGTCCCTGTGTGTCCCTGTGTGTGTCCCTGCGCATCCATGTGTGTCCATGTGTGTCCATGTGTGTCCGTGTGTCCCTATGTCCATGTGTGTCCCTGTGCCCGTGTGTCCCTCTGTGTGTCCCTCTGTGTGTCCCTCTGTGTCCCTGTGTCCCTGTGTGTCCATGTGTGTCCATGTGTGTCTCTGTGTGTGTACATGTGTG